ATATATCCAGATGATGCCACTTTCTTTTTTTTCCAAGAAACAAAGGAAGTAAGCATAGGCAAGATTAGATGATTTCCAGTCATGTCGTCATATGTGTGCTGACGATCTCCTTTCAACAGCAACCTGCAGTTGCAAAGAGCAAGAAGCAAGGCAGCAGGTCTGGAAATAACTGTTGCTCTAAGGTCTGTTTGCATAACACAGCAACTGCTTCTTGGAGTCCTTAAAGCAGCCTTTGCAAGTTTAATCCCTCTCACTTGAGCAATTCTTAATCATCTTGAAAGCAAATTCCTGTAATAGAACAGATTTCATTTGTGTCTGGGCCTTTTTGTATCGTATTTGCCTGCTATGGTGCATGTCTGCAAACTGGCAAGTTTTCCAACACGGGGGAGCAGGGCAGAGAGCATTTATTTTGATAGCAGATTTTAAATTCAATTAGATTTCATATCAGATACGTGCAGCAGGATCATGCAAACTCAGATAAGCTCTTCAGGAATTTGCTTTCCGCTGTGAAGTCGGTTATGGCTTGGATGACTTCTGGCTTCCGTAGGATTTTTGAACCTTAAATCGCTATTGCTATAAGTACCCTCAAATATCCTGAAAGCAGTGGCAAAAGCCCTCTGTGCTCTTTAAAAATAGTGTATAAAATTTTTATTCTAGCCAAGCTGAATTTGAATAATAAAGTAGCATAAGGCCAAACAATGTAACTGCTTTACAACATTGCAAGTTTCAGTTCCAGGTGCTCAGCCGACAGTCACTGAAATTGGATCGTTTTATTTCTTTTGTTAGGGCAGTTTCAGTCCAGCACCCTTTCTGGCTCCATTTGCTTCACATAAACCATGATGTATTGTAAACCTAGTAGTAGTAGTGTTAGTATTAATGATGATGATAATAGTGATGATCATAATAAATAATAATAAAGTCTTTTAATGGGAGAAGTCCAAGGTGTTTGGTTAGAAAATAAAGTTGGCATAATGAAAAGGGGTAACTCTGTGCAAGGTGGAGAATGGCAGATGCGATTCAGCCTTTACATAGCACGGCTGAAACATGAATCATTGTAAATGTCAGATTTCCTGTGAAGGAAGGAGCTGAACTGACATGCGTTCAGCTTTAATTAAGGTTGAGTTATTGGAGCTGACTGTCAAGTCTTAGGCAAATTGGCTGAGCCTGTTATCATTAAGCATGAAAATTAGCTACTCTAGGACTTGGTAAAAATAAACACATTTCTGTGTCTCGAATGTTCCAGTGTGAGACGGAGAACCCAGTGCTTGTCATGGGGTAGCTTGGGGTTTAGCACGCAGGATTAGACGGTGGGTCAGTAGATGTGTGACCTCAGGGCAAGAGCCCCTTAAAGAAGCTGTGAAGCCCAATTATACTGTCCCTCCTTAAAGACCAGTGTGGCATTTTTCCCATGGAAGAATTTCACATGCAACCAGAAGTTATCTCTGGTCATGTGAAGGCAACTTGTACCAAAGGGTTAACAACTCCTGTATGAAGAGTGTGAGGCTGAAAATCCCAGACATTTCAGATGTTTTGCAGAAGATCTCTGATATTCTGGATCCTGTTCAGAAAGGATGAGGAAAGAATTTAAAAAAATAAAAACCAAGGTGCAACACACATTTTGATGCGACAAAGCCATTTCCTCATCCTCGGTGTATGTCATGGGGCTCTTGAAGGGTCATTGCCATTGTTACACAGCCAGAGTGACCAGCGTGTTGTGTTCCCAATGTGAGAAGATTGCTGTGATGATTTTAGTAGCTGGGGCTCTGGGCAAATTAGTACTAGAGTGGGGCATTGACTAAATGAAGTAAAGCACAGCTTTGGAATTACTATCATGGATACCTCAGAAAGATCAGGACATTGTTCATTTGAAGCAAAAAGTGTATCCCAGAGAACCCAAGTTGAGCAAAACCAAGAGAGTTTACCCTGCAGAACCAATAGAAATATGGAGCCTTGTGTGATGAAAGGGTGCATTAAGTGCCCTCTACACAACAGCAAAGACACATGATGAAAACTGAAGTGGTTCCATTTGGATGTTAGCGTTCCATGTTCATCGGGCTCCGTCCTCCCTGCTAGGGACTCAACCTGCGCCTCTCTCCCTCCAAGTAATCATGGGCTTTCAGCAACTTTGGAATCCAGGTCTGGCCCTGCATCCGAAACTCGCACTTTGCCTGTGCCTCTTATGGCCTGAAACAACCCTGAAGCCAGAGGCACCTTAGCTCTGCAATATTCAAAGTCCAGGTCAGAGTGCTTGGTCCTGGGCCACTCTCGCTCTCTTCTTAACATTTTCCTCCATGCTTTCTGTTTTCCCTATTATTTGCACCTGCCTGGCCACAAAGCCCTTATTAAATCAGCCACACGAAGTGGTTTTGCTTCCACTCACTGCATGGCTATTAAAACTAGGGACAACTCTGATATCCCCAGATAATGTGCCCCTTCCATCCAGCCGCACATACGGCATCTTGTTTGATACATGGATTTTCCCATGTCTCTTACACTCTTCCGTACTCTTGCACTTGCTTGTGCCACAGCTTTCCCTTGTAAACACTTTTAGATCTTAGAGGGAGGAAGAAGCTTAGAGGGAGGAAGAAGCTCTTCTCTCGTGCCCACTGCTTTCCTACTGCAAAAAATGTGTCCTAGTATTTTCATGGGGTCTTAAATTGTTCTCAGACAACTGAACAAACAAAAACATTATGGTGTTACAGCTTGAGAGAAGGGAGTTGGCAAAATTGACACCGGTCAGTTATATCCCACAAGGGATCCGACTCTTGCTTGGAGAAAACAGCAAACAGGAGCCAATGCTAGAACTCCGAAGAATCAATAGTTGTAGCTAGGGCTGGGTGGACAGCTGCTTTTAATGCAATACTTCATTGATTTCTTGTGGATCTAATTGACTTTTTACTAAGCTTTAACTTTTGTGGTGCCGGTGTAGTCGGAGTCTACGCCATTCATTTACATTGCCTGACATTACACTGTAGGAAGTTTATCTCTGTTGGAATGAACTAACAGAATGTCCTGGAATCTGTGTTCGGAAGTGGAACCCAGTGACTTGCAGTGGGTAATGCATGTAAAGCAATCAGATGTAGAGTTATTAACTTGCTTTATTTGAAGAACATAGTCAATAGAATGCCACACCCACTGAAAGTCCATAAGTCTCCCAGGGACATGAATTTAGCTAAATGTCACCCACTGGCAGTGGCTACACGAACAGAAATTATTAGAATAATAAACATTAAATGTAAGTAAATCCTCTGTGTTAAAAATAAGTGCAACAAAACCTCTATACCATTATTTTCAGAACCAAGACACAGACAATAAATTAAATCATATCTGAAAAAGAAACGCAACAAAGTTGACCACATGTAATGCCTTAGTAATTTGGCACATCCGTAATCTTTTCTCAAAAATGGAAGCACTGGAGCTCCCATTCAGTCTCGTCAAAGCATTACAGTTTCTTTGGAATTTTTGCTACTGAAAATAGCTTATTTTGGCTCCTCTCTCCCATTGTCTTCTGTATACCTATTTTTTATATGGAGGAAACTACACAGCAGGTGTAACAGTGTCGCAACAATTTGCAAAATCATCTTTTATCGCATGAACAGCACCATGTCATTGGGGGTATATTTCAGGAATATAAAGCACCTTGGTACATTACAGGGAAGTAGACAACTTGATTTATCATTGCCTTAGTCCAGTTTTATTCCAGCATAGCTCCACTGGAGCCAGGCACAAGTGACCCAGGCCCAACATAGAACAAGCAAGCAAATGGTTGGCCAGAGCCTATTTGTACTGTTGAAATGAGTACAGAGTCATCCTGAACTGTTGTGTTGTTTCCATGTGTCCTCTGTGTCATATAACTTATTTCAACGTGGTCTAGTCCTTTCCTGAATTAATATCATTTCAGAGGTAGAGTTTATTCATATGAGTGTTGTGAGCATGTGTGCATTGTCACATGGTTGACAGCATCTGTCTCCTATGCTCCTCTGTCATACACTCTCAGCTAACGTGGGTGGGCCAAAACCAAAATAAATAGAACCCTAAAATTATGTTGGTGCATAAGGTAAACATGTACAGTACATTTAAACTAAAACTTCTGTGTATATGTGATGGGAGGGGGCTGGGAAGCAAATGGAAAACACTGACTCCCATAAGCCATGAAAGACTCCTCTTGTGATGAATTATGGATCACTCAGGCACATCAGGAGTACATGCATCATGTTGAAAGGGAGCCATCATTGGGAACTGAGTATTGAACATGTTGCATGAGGTTTCCACGCTCTTATCTTTGGCTTCTTGACATTCCATAGTTTGATTTAATTTTTTTAACAAAGATTAATGTTGATTGGTGCCCAGCAGCCCTTCATTAGAACAGTACTGAGGATTTTAGCAGAGACTACAGCTGTTTGTGTGTTGATACCACAGCACAGTTGGGGGAATAGGGCTGCACTAATATGCTCATTGTGCTAGGAAGTCATTTTCTCTCCAGACTTTTGTTCTGTTTTCACATGTGAATGCCCATTGAGTGAAGATTGAGGTCTAAACCTTACATTTGATGACTATTCCATCTTCTGTCTTGTGAGAGGCCTGGGCATTCACATGGGGATGTATAGTAATTGGTGATTAGTTACTGTGGGTATCGACTGGCAAGATTCACAATCTGGATATCTTGAAAGATGATTGAGAATGACTGATCCCGTATCCTTGGTGATAAAAGTTTATGTTCACAGGATTTATCATCAACTTCAGTAACTTAATTTTGGAGAAAGAGGCCTGAGCATCATAATGTCAAAAGCATTCACACATTTTTGCTGTATGTCACACCAGTCAACCAGTGTCTTCTACAGGCAGGACAGACAGACAAACATACCATCCTTGTTGCAGAGATGCTCCCAGAAGCAAAATACCACTTTTTTTTTTTTTTTTTTACTAGGCAAACATCTGGAAAGTTGGAGAAAGGAGGGATGCTTCAATATGTCACTTTGCTTTTATTGTTGTTCTGTTAGGTCCAACCTTGAATGACAAACCTGAGGTGAAGGCAGCAAGTGTCCCAAAGGTATCAGGGCTAGAGCGCAGCCAAGAGCTGAGCACCGACGTGCCCTTCGTGCTGCCTATTCCCAGCCCTCAGCCAGCTGCTGCTGTTGTGACTTCCACTTCTTCAGCGCCCACGTCAAGCGCCAGAGCAAGCCCGCTGTTGAAGAAGGAGCCGGTAATCTCCGCACCAGCACCACCAAGGCTCACACCTCAACCACAACCTCGACCACAGTCACAACCTCAGCCTCGGCCACAATCTCAGCCTCAGCTGATACCTGAGCTCCGCACCCAGCCTCAGAGTCACATCCCTCCCCCTCTTGGCTACCAAGTTCATCACCAGGCCCCCAACGGACTCAATAATATCAGGTACAGAGAAAGGCAGACTTGTGTCACTCCTACCTTGTCTCCCACAGAAAGTGTATTTAGAAGGTATTGCTCCACTTCTGGGAGATGTTGAATTTCTCTGGGTCAGCATCACTAAGCCGTACATTTTCTAGCTAATCATCAGCTGTGATCACTAGCTTCATGGGAGATTGTGGCTTGGGCTTCCTACAGGTTTGTGTGGCTGTGGTGCAGATCTTTCTAGGTCCAGATTATTTGTGCTTTGGACCTTTTGTAATTATAGTTGACCAGCTCAGACCATAGAGATTGGAGGTTTAGTTCTGATGTGGTTTCAGAGGTTCAGATGATTTTGTTTCTGGGACTGGTACAGTTTCACTGGCATTAGTGGCTGTATTGGAAAATACCACACGCCAAGTCCAATTTGACCTTTTCCTGAGGCTGCATCTCAGAATGTGACTCTCGGACACAATTAAAAATCCGTTGCAAGTAAACTATTCCCCAAAGCTGTTGGCTAGCAGGAAGCTTAATTGTGTCCCTTAAAATATTCTTGTCCAGCAAATAAGATCCACGCATAAACTTGTAGAGAGAGAGGCAGTTTAGTCAACATACGGGAATAAACTGAAGTCTGTGCAATTTGCTTGTTAGTGTGAAAAGCACCTTCTCCTCCTCCTCCCCTCCCCCTCCCCCCCAAAAAATAGAATAGCCTGGTTAAGGAGATAATTCAGTGAGCTCCATTAACATCATCACATGTTAGCTGCATCTACACCAAGCTATAAGTGTGTATAGAACTGTCAATTTTCTAACCTACTTTGGCTTTAGCCTTTGAGTACTACTACATTATAAATGTTTAATAACATTTGGCACTTTTCAAAACATGTAAAGTATGCCAGGGAGCTTAGACTCCCTGACAGCAAGATGCTGGTATCATCATCATGGGAGTGTGCATTATATAACTGCACTGATGTTTCCCTTCTCTCTTCCTCAGCCTCAGAAATACTCTCAGGATGCTGTGCAGTATAATAATCTGAAAAGCCATTACAATGAAAATGTCATATAATTATACATGATTTTACAATAAATGTAATATACCAGATAGATCGATATAAAATACTATTATAAAGAATGCAGCAGAGGAGACTAATGGCATTTGGAAGTTAGAGAGAGAAAAAGGATTACAAGAACCAAGAATCCTGATCACGTGCTTTTGTGGTTTTACGGTCATCAAAGGCTAAATGAAAGTGTAAATGCATTTGCCCTTATGCCCTCTGATCAGCAATGTACAGACAGCTCAGGGGGTTGAAACCTGTCAGTCATGAAAGAGAATGTCACCCAGGTGCACCCAAGTCATGCTGGGAAAGGTCTGAGGGATCCAGTGGGCCCATGTATGCTCCAGAGCCTTGCTGTCTCTGCTGCTGTGCAGTTATTGTATTGCTTTGATATTGTGTAGTAACATCCCCTCTCTCTCTCTCTCTTTCCCCCCCATCCATTTTTCGCACCCCACAGCAGGAGCAGCAGTGCCAGCAGCGCAACAAGCATCAGCCTCCCCAAACACCTTCCTCATTCCCCGCAGATCCCACCTCACCATTCTTCTGGTCCAGCCCTGCCCCTCTCCATCCCTAATCTTGCTACCTCGCACTTCTCACTCAGATCACAGACCCAACACCAGCACCATACGGCCATGTTCGCCACCCCACCCACGCTGCCACCTCCACCAGCGTTACCCACCAACAGCCTTGTGATACCAGGTCATCCGGCAGGTAGGTTATTTTCTTTCTGCTATAGCTGCTCTCCTGTAGAAGTACACTACAACATTTGTAGTAGGGGTTAGAGGGCAAGTAGGCAAAAAAAGAACACACCCCCTCTCTGTCCCCCCCACACCTCCTTGGCAGTGTCTTCTGAAATTTAAAAGCATTTCTGCAGCAGGCAAGAGAGGCTGAACTCGACCTGTGGGCTAAAGGGCACATTATGTGTATTCCTTGATCTTGATGAGAGAAATGGAAGTGAATTTGAATATGAAATTGGGATTTTCCCAGGAGCCTGAGGGACTTAATCTCCCAAATGGATTTGGGTTTTCGAATACCCCACTTAAATTCATCTTCTTATTGAAATCCTGACTTTCCAAATGCTTTGCAGTCTGCATTTTTGCAGCCGTCTCCATAACCCTGGAGAAGACAGGAGCTGTACTTTGGAATGAGTTTGATGGCTTTTTAGGAATTGCTTCTTTTCTGAAGCAGTCAAGTTCATATATTTCCACTATTGCCCTTCCTTGCTTTGACAAGCTTCTGTTCCTTTACTTCAAATGGCCAGGGGAAGGAGTGGGACTGCCATTCAATAGTTCATACTCTTTCATTAGACCTTATTTGGGATTGGTTCTAGGCAGCATACAGAGCAGGTAAAATAGGCTTGCAAACGAGAAGCCCCAGCCCGTCCCCAGTGGTGATTCTTCAGTAAATAGCAAATCCTGACAGCAGAGCAAGCCGGCAGGCCAAGGCATCCTCCGCACATGCAGCAGCCTGCGCTTTCTGCCATCTGTTTACACATTGGAGAATCTTGGCTGCTTGGTCTGACTGAAGGAGGCAGAGGGTGGTCAGTGCTCAAGTTGACAAGTTCTGTTGTCAGACTCTTTTCTTAATTATTTTTGCAGCCTTTAGAGAAGTCCCCTTTGTTCCCGCCTCCCTTCCTCCATTGTTGTTTCTGTCCTAAGTGCCCTGTTTATAGCTTGCCCATTAGCCTACAGCTGTTCCTGTGGGAGAGCCTGGCAGCTGGAGACCTCCCTGGAACACTTGCTAGGGCCTCCTTTTGATCTGGCATTTGACTCTATGACTAACTCAGCAGGGATTAAAGAGGACAAGCAGTTACAAAAATGTGCTCTTCTATTCCCTATAAAGGCAGCCAGAGCACACAGGGAGATCTGCTCCCGACTGTTCTGATGACTTGGCCTCCTGCTTGTATTTTCAGGGGCTAAATATCCCATTATTTAGAACTGCTCGTTTACAGGAGGCGGAAATGTGATTTGGCCTCAAACAAACTCTCCAAAGTGACGTTAGACCAAAATATTATGGCTTCCAGCCAGGGGCAGGGCTGCATAGGAAGCTGCCTGCTTTCAAGGGCACTGGTGCTGTCTAGGATTTCAGCCACATGGCTGGGGACATGCTAAACATCACAGCAGGAGACTTACTCTCTGAGTAACTGCTTCCACTAAAGCCAGAGGCTTGTAACCACACTGATAGACATGTTGGAAAGAGTGCAGACAGACTTTGAGAGGAGAAAACAGTACTGTGCTTGCTAAGACCCCAGTCCTGCATCCCTTGGAAGCAAGTAGTAGCTTCAGCATTAACTGCAGGAGGAGCACAAGCAGGCAGATTGCCAGCAAATGATAAGAGGCCTGCTACTGCTGGGAGGCATTTCACTATGGCTCAAGAAGAGGAGGCCTGAGTTTGTGGAGTTAAAGGTTCTGGGTTCTAGTCCTGATGTTGACACAATGGCTGTTGTCTGCTGCAGCCTGGCAAATCTTATAATTCTGCGTAGCTAGCAGCTTCCATTGGCATTCCTGGAAAGGTTTCTTTCAAAGTAAGAAAAGAAAGGAGATGGTAGCATTGGTAACTTTGGAGAGCAAGGTTGAATTACTTTTTCGAGTAATACAGTCCACGTTTGAGTGCACATGTGGCCTCATTTAAAAGCACCAGGCTAGAAGAGACCCTTAGAGAGGACATGGACCTTTCATTTTCCTTTCCAGGATGGGGTGGGGGAGCAAGGAAATGAACTGCTCATCCTTGTTCCTTTACATTTAAAGTAGCTGCTGTGCTTTGGCAGAGGCAGAGTTCAGGCAGTAGCCTTCCTGTGCCTGCCTGTCAATGATGCTAATAGGTTAGGTCAGTGCATGTCAGTGTGGCAAGGAACCACACTGCTTCTAGCGGCATTTCTTCCTCAGGAAACCGAAAGCTTATGTAAACAGCTTACTCATTAGAGACTGTTTGTGGGGTGCTATAATCCAGTTGGGAGTTTGAAGGCCTACCTGTGTGCTGTTAAATGGCAAGTGAGTCAATGCCTTCTGTGTTGAGTTTTAGCGGGTAGTTAGCAATGCCGTCAAAGTGAAATGGTGCTCACCAGTGAACTTCTTTATTCAGTCTTGCCACATGCAGGATGTTAGCAGGTGCATACATACATACAGACAGCATAAGTAATTGGGAGGCAGGGACTTAGTGGTATTAGAAGTGGCTGTTTAGATAGGTCTGTTCCCAGTGGTCTCACTAGGTGCCTAAACCTGTAATAGATATCACTGTAGGCATCCTGATCCCAGCTACTCTGAAGCCCAGTTTACAGCTGGGACACTGCTTGCTCCCTACTTCCTGCAGCAACCTCTTTTAGGAACCTTCTGAAAAGGCTGTGCCACTCTTCCTCTCCCTGTGCCCATCTTCCAGGTGCTTCAGAGTCTATTCTTTTACTGACAAAGGCAAAGTTGCACTGTAGAGCTAAAGTCTGGAGGCAGTTGTAGATCTGCCAGCCTGACTTAGTCTCGTAAAGAAATCGGATATCAATGCACTCACAGCTGCCAAGTCTCTTTTCATCCCTCCCTCCAAAAACATGAAGTGGATTATCCTGATACTAACAGAAGGATTTGGTTTCTGTAAGTCATGCCAGACTTGTGGGGGAAAAGTTATTTTTTAGTAAACATGCTCACATTTTCCTCCAAAGATGTTAGATTTTAACTACAGTTATTGGCGATATATTTTATGGCTGGCGCTAAGAAAATCTCATCACAGACCCCATGTTCCAGTACTTGAATACTGTTTTGATCCTGTTCTTTTCTACCCATGTGTTAACCTATTAATTATTACTGTTCCTTGAGCAGTACACATGGGCCTGATACTTTGCAAAGATATTGCGCCTGCTTCCACAGACTTCTGAAGAATACCCTATGTGACTTAAACTCCTGGTTTCTATTTTAAAGAGAGATTTCAGTCGCTTTAAAGAGAGATTTCAATGCAACCAGGACTCCTGAGTGGCTAAATGAGCTAGAATTTACCTGTCCAAGTTGCTTAGGCTCTTCACTCTTATACCAAAAACAGTGGGTCTAACTTGCTTTTGAAGAGACTAGAACCTAAGTCATTTAGGCACTTCTGAACATGTTAGCCATAGAATCTAATTTGGAGACTCATGGGCAACAAGAGGTAAAACAGCAATGCAAGAAGTTAAGGGACTGATTTGTTAAATCTGCTGCAATTTAAAAGGGGTGTTTCTTAAATCAGTGGATCATTGCAGAACAAGAATAGTCAGCAGCATGTAGGACATACAGATTGTTCTGTGGTTATATAGCACTTGCACAAGTGGGATCTGGTGAATGCTTGAGGCTCCTAGGCATGGCCAGCAATGGAATTAAGAAATAATAGCAAATCCTGTCTGACCTACCTATTGCAGCTCATAGCTGGCGAAGAAGATTTGGTCTCCTTATTCTCTCCTCCTCTAGAGACTTGTTTAAATTTTCAGTGTCCTTCCCACACCTGAATAACATTTAAACAAGGAACAGTAGTGAATTGTGTGGTTAATGGTAAATCTAATTTAAAATTGGAGATAAAGTGGATTTTTCCCCATAAACCAGAGGCTTGAGATACTCAAAGTGTTGCTGAGCCCTTAGAAAAGTTTCATCCCAACCCTTTTGTCCCATAGAAACCACTCTCACACTTTTAAGATGCTGAAGTTAAACCTTTGGGGCAATGCTATTATTACAAAGTTAATCATGGCAATATGGGGAAAAAAGTCTTTTCTAAATCATAAGGAAATTTGGTATAGAAAACAGACCAAGATCTAAACGTGCTAAAACTTATTCTTTTCCCTGATACCAATCATGTGTATTCAGGCTACTCAGACATTTTCAGGTAAAGTATTCATAATTGGTAGAATTATTTTCTTTTATTTCTTTTTCTGTGTTGAGGACTTAAATATTTAGAAATACTCCCCAGGCCTTGTGCTGGCTTCCTCTGTAGTGCCCATACCAAAGAATTTCTGATTTACAACCTGTGCATCACCACAAAGTAACTACAACAAGGAAACATCATACGTTCACAGTAGCAGGGGGGTCACTTAAAAGTCTTGTGTTAAGATAGCATTTACACACTTGTTTCCTAAGTTATAGTCTGTGTACTGGGTAAGAGTTGGGGCCAACATGGCTGTAACTAAAGTAATTTTTGCCCATTGTACCTTTTGTTGGGGGTATTCTGCACCTCCCCGGGTCCATCACTGTGTCCAAGTTTTGTTGCAGAAATGGTTCTGGCCAAGAATTAGGCAATATATTTTACAGTAAGCAAAAGAAAAAAGAACCTTCAGGTTCAAGGCCTGCTTTTCAGAAGAGCCCAGCATATTGGGTACTGAGCTCTGTTGAAAATCTGTGTATCCCTACCTGAGAAGGAGAGGCCAGGTGTCATCAAAGAGTAACCCAGAAGAGAACCTCTTGGGAGAGGACATTTGCTTTTTATAGCAACCACAGTCTTAATCAGATCTTGAATCTGTAAAATGTCTCTTTTCTCCCAGCCATTATTTGTCACAAAGGAAAATAAGCAGGTGACAAGGTTAGGCAAATGTCAGTTTTTGCCTCGTTAAAGAGTAGGGATAGTCCAAAACTTAGTATATTAAAGGTGCTGAACATCTTACTGAATTGGCATTTTATTTGGAACAGCACTTTTAGCCCAAATGTTTGTGAGGCATAGCATGTCCCCAGTGACTTTATCAGAAAATGATGCACAGTCTCCTGGATGATATTGTAGAACAGCCTGAATTGGTAGCTGCTAAACGACATTGTTCATCCATTGTTATTGATTTGTTCAAGTTTTATCTCCTAAGTATATACATTTTGGTCCCAGCCGTGTTACTTACTGGTTGCCATTAGCCACATAGCATGCCCAAGCTTGTTTGGGCTTCATGTTTCACTACCCTGGCCAAAGAGTGAAGCGAAGACAGCAAGTTGAGCCCCATCATGCTGCATATTAAAACCTGCCAGCCAGACTGACGGCTGCAGAATGATGGCTTTTTAGCTGGAGGTTGTATGACCTCTGTAACAGGGGGCTTATACACAAAGTGCTGCCAATAAAAATGGAAGCATCTTCATGATTATATCTATTTCAGTCTTGGCCACACTGCGTCAAGAACAGGGAGAAACTCTCGCTACGAAAAATTTCCCTTTAGTTGCAACTGCAGCAGAAAAGGCTGTTTGGAAATGTTAGCTTGTGATCAGTTAGTAACCTGGCTGCTTCACACATCCAGAATCACTGAAACCAGCCACATCAGGCTGTCTCTATATCTCTACCAACAGCTTTTCCTTTGGAGGGATCGTGAAGTTTCATATGGTGTCACTTACCCACCCCAATCCTTTTTGCTGTGGTTTTTTAAATGCCCCTGCTTAAAAGGGATGTTCACAAATCCAGTATGGCCCCGATACAACTTTTACCAAGCAGATTAATGCAGAATGATTAACAGATTTAACCATGGGTTTTGTTTCTTCTTCAAAATTTCAGGGAGAACTTTTTAAAACAAATCACTGTGCCCCTTTCCCCACACAAATATTTCAGCCTTTCCCTAGGGCAGGAAAACTTGGGCATGAAGTGGACTCAAAAGGGAAACCGAATAGGCTGTTTTCACAGTCCTGACTAAGGCCGATTGGCAACCAGAGTAGAAGTGCAAGAGATGTTTAGAATTCTGTCAGTGATGATCACCTAATTTGGGGTTAGATTATAGGGAAATGAATTGCTTTGGGGGATGGCTGGGAAGGGGGTAAATACAATTTTTCCTTTAACCTGACGAAGTCCCTTTTAAAATGTCCTTACCTCGGGCTGGGTTGAGGGAGTGGGGACGGGCAAGCGTGTTAATGGCCCACTTTGTTTTCTGCTGTGATGACTCATGGTGTTCTCTCTTGTCTTTAGATACCAGCCTGTTGATATCATTCAACCAACCAATCATGTATTGCCAGCCTCATTCGGGGATTCTGATTGGTACTTTGTCACAGGCATCTCTCTTACCTCCACCAATGAGTCCTCACGTAGAAAACCACCACAGCATGACCTGCAGAAACAGGGAATGCCAGGTGAATATCTGACTCTTTCTTCTACGTCTTTGTGGAACTCACAGGCCGATGTGCCTTTGTGTCTTTTTTTTTCTCTCTCTGTCTCCTCTAGATCACGAGCTGCTCAGACAAGAGCTGAACAACCGGTTTTTGGTTCAGAGTTCGGACCGGGCCACTGCCTCTCTTGGCCCGGTGCCGCTGCTGAGAGCGGAGTTTCACCAGCACCAACACACGCATCAGCACCAACACACCCACCAGCACACATTCACTCCTTTTCCATCCAGCTTACCCCAGACGCCGCTCATGCCGCCCTCTGCACCTCCCATGGTGCGTACCCCAGCCCAAAATGTGAGGATAAGTAGAACATCTCTGGTCAAAAAAGCCTACACCCACCCTACTGACACAAGTCCTCTTTATTTCAGACAGACAGAACCTCTCTCCTCTAACTGCCAGGAATGACCCCCAGAGACATTAGTCCCTCGTTCACGTAGGGTATTCCTCTACATTCATAGCCAAGGAAATTTTAGTTGTGCTGCTACCAATAAGCAGATGCTCTGTTTATGAGAATCTTGGGTCTTTGTCTCCTTTTCATGGCAGACCATCAGCTGTATACAGTTATTCAGCTTAATACCACATGCGAGGAGCCACATCAGCTTGGCTCCTTAATGCACCAAAACACAGACACCAGAAAAATAGAGGTGTCCATCTGGAGCATATATAATAGTTGCCTTCATGGAGAGCTTACCATAACACTATACTTGATTTCATTGTTCTCCAGTTTTCTTCCTGTTTTCCCAAATAACGCCTGGTAATTAATTTTGGCATTTGTTATTTGATTGGGTCAGCAAACATTTATACGTGGCTGGATCACTTGGGACAGAACCTTCTGGCCATGGAACAAACTTTAGTGTTTCTTCACTGAGGCTTCTTTTAACACAATGGAGCTTTTCTGCTGCTGTAATGAAATTGTAGGGACCCTGCCATAAATGGACTTTGTTAGTTCTTTCAAATGCGAGTATTTTGTTAAGTTGTAAAGAAAGCAGGATTCAGCTTTTTCCCTCCTCAGCTACGTGCTCCATCTGAAATTTGCAAGTGGTCCTTTTCTGCTAGGCCTGGGAAAAGCAAGGACTAAACACAGAAAGCAGCATCGGGTGGGGGGGAGGGGCAGAAATAACCAACAGCTTATAGGAAATAAT